TTTCTTTCTTTCTTTCTTTCTTTCTTTCTTTCTTTCTTTCTTTCTTTCTTTCTTTCTTTCTTTCTTTCTTTCTTTCTTTCGTTTCTTTGAGCTAATAAATGATCCTCCCATACCCTGCAAATCTTGACTCTAGCAGCTCCCTTAGACTGATATGTCCGTACCAACATGCATACTATAAATACATGCACATACATAAAAATAGATGCATATGAATTAATCTGCTTATTTGTCTGCACATTTCTGTCTTTGCATGTAGCTAATAGAAAAACTCGGTTGCTGCACATGAGTTAGCCCAGCTGTGTGTAATCAGCTTTACTAGAAGCAGCTAGATGGTAACAAAAAAAGAAGAGTTTTCTATTTATTCTTCTAATTAGAGTAGGCTGGAAAGGACTTCCTCGGATATTGTTGTTGTTATTATGATTATGATRATTTTTTGAGTAGATCTCTGCAGGTCAAAGGCATCCAAACTCCAGTATATATTGGGGGGTCCCTGGTGTCCTTGCTTTTATGGCTTCATAGATTCCTCCTTCTCCCCATGGCCTCTGCTCTTGGCTAGTCCTGCTGGAGGGGAGCTATGTTGTTGCCACCTTCTCCATGYGCAAGCCAAGGCCTGAGGTTTCTGCTCCTCAAGCGCATATCTGGGTTAGGTGGGGCTGAGATAAAGGTCCGGAGGTGAGGAGTTCAGCTGCTGCCAAGTGGCTCTTCCTTCCTTAAACCTCACTATCACTTCTAAGACTCGTTTTCATCCCTCAGATTCACTTTGGACCTGCTGGTTTGCGTGCAAGAGAAATTTTCAAAGTTTGGGCTCCAAGGGGGCTTGGAAAGGGAAGGGAGGCACCTTGYGAAGCGCAGGTCCAGTGCGGGTGAGGTCTGCGAGCTGCTCCCCAACAAAGGTTTGCGTGATTCATTTCTCTCCCTCCCTTTGCCTTCTCCCTCTGCCAAACCTGGAAAAACAGACCCACCGCATACCGTGGACGCCACATATTCCTCAAGCCAGTGAGCGCAGTCTAAACAGACAGTTCTCCATCTCAGACACCTACATCAGGGAGCAAAGGATGAAACCCCGCAGGCTGCTGCCCCCCAGCCCCGAGCCCTCCTTCTGCACAAGACAGAGCTGCTGTAGCCTCGTGTCAGTTGTCCCATGTGACGGCAAAAAGCTGCTGTCGTAGTGGGGCTGCTGCCTTTGTGCAGGCTCTGCATTTACATTTACATTTACATTTACATTTACATTTACATACACGGGCAAGAGGCAAGGAGAAAGAGGTTTGCTCAGGAACCCCGTGTTTGCTCCGGGCACAGCCTCTCCCTGCTGGAATCTAACCCATGGGCAGCTACCGGAGCTCCATTCAGCACCAGGGATTTACCCAGTACTCCTGGTTGTCGCTTGATGGTCATAGATGCTCCATCAGCCTTGGTATCTTTTTTCCAGGCACTTGTGTAGAGGGAGTCTTTTGTAGATGTCCTGTAGAGTCCTTTCTACATGGCTTTTGCTCCGAAATGTAAGCCGAGCAACAGCCTTATGGAAAAAAAAAATCAGGGATACAGTGGGAAACAGGGCCTAGCGCATCCGCCTGGCTGGTTTGGGACGCGCCCAGCGGCGCTGCCAGGGAGTTGCGGGCAGCCTCGGGCCCGGGAGACCCGGTACCGAACGCCTGGCCCGGCGCAGCGCTGCCCTCCGCGGCCAGTCCGGGCCCCCAGCCCCGCAGAGCGGCACGAGCCGCTTTCCCCCTTGCCTCGGGCCCGCGGGGCGCTGCGGCCGCGCGGGGGGCCAGAGCGGCCGCGGGGGGTCCCCGTGCAAGGCTGAAGGCTCCGCAGCCCGCGGCGGGGCGCAGCGGCCCGGGCAGGGCAGAGCCCGCGGCTGCCCCGCGGGACCCGCCGCGCGTGGGACCCGCCGCGCGCCCACCCGGCCCGGGACCGACCCGTTCCCGTGGCGGCAGCGCCACCTGCTGCCCGCCCGCGGCCGCCGCTCCCCGGGCACTTATTCCTCTTATCGTATACATATTTTTTCGTTATTTTTTAAAATCTGGGATGCTTCCTGCCACTTTCGCCATCGGTTAGTTTTTGCTTCCTTATTTGTTTGTCTATTTGTTTCGTTTTGTTTAGTTTTTCTTTTACTTGCGCCCTTGGTGCATCTTCACTTTGGCTGCTTTTTTCTTTTCTTTTTTTCTTTTTTTCTTTTTTTTTCTTTTTTTCTTCTTTTTTCTTTTTTCTTTTTTTCTTTTTCCTTTTTCCTTTTTCCTTTTTCCTTTTTCCTTTTTCCTTTTTTCTTTTTCCTTTTTTTTCTTTTTCCTTTTTTCTTTTTCCTTTTTTCTTTTTCCTTTTTTTTTCTTTTCCCTTTTTCCTTTTTTCTTCTTTCTTCTTTCTTCTTTTCTTTTTTTCTTTTTTATTTTTTCTTTTATTTTTTTCTTTTATTTTTTCTTTTTTTTTCTTTTTTTTTCCCCTGAGAATATCAGAAAGGTCGCACTCATAGGATCCAGAGATTGGCCCCATTCTAGGCTCAGTGTGCATACTGCCCAGGTGGGGGTATTTACAGTGGGATACTGTCAAGTCTAGGTAGGAAACAGGCACCATGTCCTTGGGTGGAGGTGGTGACCCAGACTAGCAGAAAACTGTTTCTCTTGGAGAACTTACTGCTGGACGTAGTCACTTGCAATCATCAATGTCTCTCTGGAAAACCTCAATTCTGATTTTGGTCTCAACTCTTAGCTCAAATTCAAATCCATCAAATTCGATGCCTAGATTGTCCCTGGCACCCAAGAAGTTTGGCAYGTATATACTTTGTACCTATGTCTCTTGGAGTATACTGGGCTCAGATGAGAGATCTGAGCCACAGTTTTTGTCCATTTCATGAGAACACTTGGGTTGCTCCATCCCTGAAATGCTTTTGGAGGACAAAGCCCAAACACTTGCYTGCTTCCCAGTGCATATTAATATAAAAGGGCTGCGGGAGAGCAATTTCAGC